ATGGCTGGAATTGATATACAAAAAATTGATACATATATTCGTAATAGTGCGAAAAGAAGGCCCGCTCCAAGTTGTTCAAGAATAGTGTCATTGAGTCTTACACATGGATTAATTGCGACATACACAGCACATGTAGCATATATAATTCACAAATTGATACATACAAAAGCAAAGAAGACATGAATTGATACAAGCGAACTCAAACGTGTCTACATAAATTGATTTCGGTTATAATGCATATTTATATATAAAAATATTTGCAAATCACCAAATTGATTTTGATATACGTGATAGGTGATTATGTTTATAAAAACCACTACTTTCATTAAATTTTGAAGAATTAAGCTTTCGTACTGATAATATGTTATGAAATAAAAAGGATAAGAGATAAATAAGAGAGAAAAATAGAGAGCCATAAATCCAGTGTATATTTTACAATTAGAATGGAATAGACTCTTTGAAGTAGATAAAACTTATCTACATAATCATCAATCATTATCTCATAGTTTTATAACAAGATGCCATTAATTTTGCTTAATTTTAGGAAAATATTTAGTAAGTTTTGATTATTTTTAGTTCAGTTACAAAAAACAAAAAAACAAAAACAAATGAAAGTATTTTTGGCTTTCTTCTCTATGATATCTAGTAGTTATAATATATAAATTAATGCATAGTATTTCATGAATTATTTTTATGTACTTGGTTATATGTGATTTTTTTCCGCAAAATTTTCCCATAAATATAACTAGTCAACAATTTTAAGTGGAAATTACACAATTGCGGGGTTTAAAGTTCACTTTTAAAAAATCAGGGTGCAAAGTTTAATAAATAAAAAATAAGGTGATATTTATATAATTAATCAACCTCTAATTAAATCCACCTAAATCAATTTCAAAGCCTAATCATTTCACCCGTCCAGACTCTCCCTTCTTTCTCTTTGTCGTCGACGATTTTTTCTTCTCTCCTCTACCTCTCTCCATCCTCTCTCTCATTTTCTCTCCAGTCTCTCTCTTCTACTTCGACAACCCATTCAAATTCTGACAATCGGTGACTACATAATTGCACTGTGCAACACGTGCGAAGCGTACGGTGTTTGCAATCCATCAATGCAACGTCGCGACGTTGAAATCCTTTGGCGCCAACGGCTTGTGGAGGGGGTTTAGGGTTCTTTCTCTTTCCAATTTGAGGAGGTTATGGCGGCGACAATTTGGGGATTTTTGGTAGATCTAGTGGTTGTGTTCATAAGAGTGGTGGTGGCTTTACGACTCTGATTTTGGCTCGGGTTGTGCAGTGTTTTGGTTGACAATGTTTGTTAGTTGGTGATGGTGATATTGGCGGTGATTTTGAGGTGGTGACATTGGTTGCAGTGGCGAATTTGATGATTTTGTTGGTGGGATGGTAGCTGTGGTGGTGTGGTAGATTTTAGCATACGACAGTGTGTTGGTTGATTGGAGGTGGTGGCTCGTTGTTGGAGCAAGGTGCAAGGATGTAGCAGGGATGTACGTGGTGGTTGAGCTGATGGTGGTGAGGCGGTGGGATGTCAGTGACCAACTATTTAGGCGTTTGTGACCAACTATTTGATTGATTTGTGAATAAATATTAGGTGTCTTTGGCTAAAAAATAATTTGTAACCAATAAATTGTAACATATGCGACCCTTAGATAAAATATGACTTGTAATTTGAATGATTTGTGACCACGAAATTATTTGTGATCAATTAATTTAACAATAAGCGACCAGTAAATACATTTGTGATCTATAATTATGAATTTGTGATCATTAATGATGTAACTGTAATTTTATTATCTTTATTTAATAATTTTTTTTAATTAATTAAATACAAATCTGATTTTTGAATTTTTAAACTATTTACCTAATTTTTGAACTGGGGCAAACATAACCGCTATTTTTTCCCCAGTTTTAATTGGGCGAAAGTTCACAAGTCCACATATGTAGGCGCAGGCCCGCTTTTAGGGGTTAGGCAGGGTTTAACAAATTTCTTGAAGAAGAATCCACTGCAACTGCATCCTACTAACTTGAACCCCCATTTCTCGTTAGGATTCAAGTTGTCTTTCATTGATCAACGTAAAATAATGGGTAGCAGTCAAGCGGCGGTTTCGTTCCTTACAAACATAGCACGCGCAGCCTTCAGCCTCGGTGTCGGCGCCACCGTCCTCAATTCATCACTCTACACCGTCGACGGCGGCCAACGCGCTGTCCTGTTCGATCGATTTCGCGGTGTGATCGATGATACTGTCGGCGAAGGTACTCATTTCCTGATTCCATTTCTCCAGAAACCGTTCATCTTCGATATTCGTACTCGCCCCCACCACTTCTCCTCCGTTTCCGGCACTAAGGATCTCCAGATGGTTAATCTCACCCTCCGAGTCCTCTCTCGCCCTGATGTTAATCGCCTCCCGGACATTTTCAAAACTCTAGGTCTCGAGTATGATGAGAAAGTTCTCCCTTCCATAGGAAACGAAGTGCTTAAAGCTGTTGTTGCGCAATTTAATGCGGATCAATTGCTCACCGAGCGTCCCCACGTGTCGGCCCTAGTTCGTGAAAGTCTAATTCGAAGGGCCAAGGATTTCAATATTGTTTTGGATGATGTGGCCATTACTCACTTGTCGTATGGGTCGGAGTTCTCCAGGGCTGTGGAGCAGAAGCAGGTGGCTCAGCAGGAGGCGGAAAGGTCTAAGTTCGTGGTGGCCAAGGCGGAACAAGAGAGAAGGGCTGCTATTGTTAGGGCTGAGGGAGAAAGTGAGTCTGCCAAGTTGATTTCTGATGCAACTGCAACTGCTGGAATGGGCTTGATCGAGCTGAGGAGGATTGAGGCCTCAAGGGAGAACACAGCCACCATGTCCAAGAGTCCCAATGTGATGTACCTGCCTGATGGAAACAATATGCTTCTTGGGCTCAACGCTGGACGTTGAATATAAGGTACTGATTACCAAAATTAATTCATTTATTTTATTTGCAATTCAATTGATTTGGAGCTTCAAGTAAGATTTGTTATTTTAACTTGTTTGTTTGGCTTTTGATTGAAAAGCTCGTGTCATGCTGGTAAATTGTATGTTCTCTTCATTGCCTTGATATTGAAGTTCCTTTAGGATATGTTTGGTCGCATGGGTTGGAGCATTAGAAAATGGGGAAATATTTTCGTTTGATTCTTCCCCAAAGCTCATCCACTGTGGTGCAAAAATTTAGGATATATATATATATAGTTAGTTAGTTAAATCATTCATCACTAAAATTTACCTATGATTAACACTTGCTCACTCAACAATAGAAGGCTACTACTGCTCGTTTCAATTCTATCCATCTACTTATGCAAAAATAATAAAAAATAATAAATAAATAAAATGATAATAATAAATCCACATGGCAGATGGAAATTCCTCGTGACAACAAACGGTGTTAAAAATTGACATGGAAAAACTTGCATTTTTTACTAATGATTCCACTTGGACAAAATTGAAACCTACATCAACAAATGATTTGACATTGAACTAAAAATTGAGAAACCACCAAATTTATATGAACCAGATTCCTCTACTGAAAAATGACATTTAAATTGAGTCCCACAAAAGTGTCAAAAATTGTACATTGAATATGAGAAACGTAAGTGACCCATAACCATAAGACCCGCAGAAATTTTACTTTTGAAGAAACAATGTTGGAGTGAGCAAATGAGGGACCACATAGAGGCAATTTGCTTTAATTTAATATGAAATTATATATTTTGCACATTATCTTTTTAATATTTGCACGTGATCAATTTGCCCACCACTTTGTTGTTGAGTCACATTCTTTCATGTGATTTAGATTTTGAATGGAATGGTACTTAGTAAGGATATACTAATCACAACCAATTTATTCCTGAAGAGGTCACCATTGTGTAGTAATTCTGAAGGTATCTAAATACCTCTACTATGTATTTGGCAGTGCAATGCCCATTTGTTCTATCGCTCATGCCAGCGTGGTCTGAGCTTTTATATTTTATCTGAGCGCATCTTTTTTATTGTTTCATGAAGCCCAAATCCTCCAAGTACAGTCTAATTTACTAATGTCCTGGCTCTGAACTTATCATTGGGCCTAATTAAACATCTGGGGTGCATCCCCATGGTTCCTATTCCTTACCTAGACTCCACATTTCTGAACTCTTTTCCAACCTCCAATAGAGGATCTAACTTTTCCTTCTCGGATCATAAATTGAAAATGATATGTGCTTTCTTCATGGGAAGACTAGTCCGCGTGCAACTCCTCTTTACTTGGACAGTAACTGTCATCTAATCTGATAGCTCTTCCTCAATAGCGTTAATTTTGATGGTATGATCTTCATTAATCCAACCGAAATAAGTTTCTTAGTCAAATTGAAAATCATCATCATTAACGTCTGAATTGGTCAATTGACATTCAATGGATACAACTTTCTCCTCAAACATATTATTTGCAAAAACTAGATACTGTTATGTTAGAGGATCAATTATATTGCAGGATGAAACCATGAAAGGAACTGAAAGACTTGGTATGGTAACAAAAGAAAATGAAACAAAGCATTTGACCAATGCGAAGAATTCACATGTTGCAGTCAAATAGTCACAAAAAGCTTTTCAATTAAAGTACTCAAGCACCTAAATTGTAAACATTCTATAGACAAATGTCTTTCGACGCTACACAAACATGATTAGGAGTGGCAATCAATTTAAATGTCTTTCTAGTATAATTCCAAGAAAGATTATCATAAAAATTTAGACCTTTATAGTATATAATCCACAAGAGCTTTTTCATTGTAACATTTTTTAAACAAGGCTTCTCATGTTGAAGACAGTTTCTAGCTCAGTTAATAAAAATTTCAAGCATGAACAATTGGAATTACTATGCAATTATAACATGTTTGGAAATAAATTGGTTGGAAGGACTATAACCTTATTAAATATATCATCTTATTAAAAACCTAAATCATGTGAAAGAAGTGGTCTAACAACAAGAGTTTGACAAATTCATCACTTGCAAATATTAAAATGAATATGTGCATAATATAAAATTCCATATTCCATTAAAAAAATTACTTCCATGTGGTCTCTCAGTTACTGTCTTCAACATTGTTTCTTCAACAATAAATTTGCATGTCATTTGTGGGTTACTTAAATTTCTCATACTTGAGGAACAATTTTGGCACTTTTGTGGGATGCAATTTGAATGTCATTTTTCAATAGAGGAATCTAGGGTTCATATGAATTTGGGGGACTTCTCAATTTATATTTCAATATGGATCAGTCGTTGATTTATGGTCCAAGATGGGATAAAAATTGTTCAGGTTTGATCAGGGAAGAATCGTTTGTTGAAATTAGAATTTTTCGTTTTAGGGGCAGAAAGGTCATGTGTTTAATAGTCAAATCCTACAAAATTTTAAGTTTCGACAATTGTAAATAAACTTCGATGATACATTTAAAATGAAATAAATAGACTATTCAATTTTATCCATCTTGTCAATTTTTAATACCATATGTTGCCTTGTTGGATTTACATTGGCCATGTGGACTTTTTTGCACTAGTTTGACAGATGGAATTGAAATGGGTGATGGCAGGTAGCATTTTGTAAAAGTGAGTGAAAAATCTGGTAACATGTTTTTTTAAGTGAGCAAGTGATAATAATCATAGGTAAATGTTGGTGATGACTGATTTAATTAACTCAGATATATTTACCAAACTGATGCTCACAAAATGAAATCAATCTAAAAATCATTTAGTAATTAAAATAATACTTACCAAGCATATAAAATTATAAAATATTAGATTGGGAAAAAAAAAAAAGGAAGAAGAAGAAGAAAGAAAAAAGAAAAGAAAAGTGCGACTAGGCCCCCAAAAAAAAAGAAAAATGAAAATAGTAATTTAGAAAAAGCACAAAAAAGTGTGAGAAGGTGTGTTTTGCACCATTTCGCGCCTAGGCTAAAAATTTGAAGATATGGCTTCTGAGTAAATAGGGTTGGGCAAATCTCCATAACCGAACCGACTGAACCGAATCGAACCGAACCCGACGGTTCTTGTCAAATTAAATACGCGAACGGGTATTTGAATTGAGAACCGACGGGTACGGTTCGGTTCTCGGTTCTAGACCAAGAACCCACTAAATAATCCTAAACACCTACACTAAAGTGCATAACGCTGTCTTGACTCTCGTAGCCTTGTCGACATTCCAAAACCTATACAATCGTCGACCGACACTGTGACCTCCAATCGAAGTTGTGACCTCCGCCAACCGAAATTTTGACCGTAGCGATCATTTGAATAAGGTAGTCTACGAGTCTCTGACATTTCAAAACCATTGAATGTGTCATTAGTTATATTTATATAATGTTGTTATAAATGTTAAAAATTTTAATTATAGTACAGAACCGAATGGAACTTAACCGAACCAACCCACGCCCACCCCTATGGGTAAATATTAATAGCTCTCCCATTCTGTTATTACTGGTTATAAATTCCTTTTATTGAGGTTGTGTTTTCTTTGTTTTAGATGGATGTTTTTAGATGATGTTGGATTTTTCAGCAGGCAAATTTCTTTATTCCTGTTTTTTTTCTATATAAAAGTGTGTATTTTTATTGATAGACTACACAATGGTAATGAACTACATTTGATGTACTCATAATGCTGGTTCTGCTATTGATATGGTATCAGTTAGGGGTCCTTGATTGTTGCTAGTATAGAAAGTGAAATACATGGTTTATGGTGCACCCAGTGCAATGTCAATAATTCAATTGTTATTAACTTCATGAGAAGTGTGCATATTCACATGTATATGATATCAATGCTTATTTTGTTTGCACTAGTCTATAATATAAAACCTCTACTTTTCTGTCTGAATTTGCTCATTGTGCTTTTGATGTTCAAAGTTATGGTTTCTATTAGGTTCATAGTGTATGGTTTGTTATTTGCTTTAATTGGATAGGATCCATTTCTTGTTTCTTGTTTCACTACCTATTTCTTTCTTTACTCTTTACACGTCTTGCTTTTTGAGCGAGTGAAAGAGCATTAGAAGTTGACCTTATGGAGCAGAATATCAAGCTGTAATCTTTCTTATTTTGTCGTCACTTGTTTTATATGCTCAATTAAAATTTACAGTCATCATCATTATACGAACTTTATTGCACAGAATAACGTGGATTCATTGCAATTATTTTTTAATTTAATTTAACTTTTTATTATTTTTAAATTTTTTATTATGTTTTTTTTTTTTTTTTTTTATTTTTTTTAAATTTTTTTTTTTTTTTTTTTTTTTTTTTTTTTAATTTATAGATCACATATCTCAACACTAACTGGCTGGTTATTAATTGTGGGTTAGTCATTTTTGTACGGATGTGGTCCACCATTCTACATGCTGCATTTTTTTCTTTATTCATTGATGTCAAATCTAATTTCAATTTACTCAAGAGGGCATTATGAAACCAAAACTGGATTGGAATTTCTTTCTTTCTGTAATGCTATTGATTCTTTTAGATTTCGATCTATTATCTTGTTATTATTCAATTGCGCTTCTGGACATCTAATTCTCTTTTGCATTTTTATTTTCAGGATGCTAATGTGTGGCACTACTGCCGTGGGAGGTTTGGCTATTTGTTTACAGATTTTTGCTAATGGAGATTTCTTTGTTCTAGCTGGATATTTCTAGTTGGGAACGTTGTGATGAGTTATGCACGGCTGTTGAGAACATTTTTTCCTCTTTCAACTGCCAATATAAATGCTATTCCTTTTCATCTCTCTGCCGTCATTCTGTTGGATATCCTACCATGAATTTCTCCATTATTCGTTACTTTCCTTGTTTCCTTCAAGCTTCAAGAAATCTTTAGTAGACAGTAAAAGGAATATTTTCATCGATATCTGATAGGAGATGAATACAATGTCTGAGCTCTCAAATTTACCATGCAATAGTTTTCAACACCCAACCGGAATATACGGGAAGTTTTGTTTCTTGTTTTTTTTATTGAGTAATGCTATTTGCAATCGCTCATTATCGTAGTCGTCCTACGTGGCTTACATGTAGTGGTTAGTGATTTGATATATTAATATGGTAGTTTTTTATTGCTTTATGCATTAAATCATTAACTGTTACATGTATGCCATATAAGGCGATTACGGTTGTGAGCGACTGCAAATATCATTATTTTTTTTTATTAGATCTTTGATACGTCCGATTAAATGGACCTGAAAACCAGTCGGTACCAAGCTTCATGAAACTTGCCACACTTTACTCCTATAGCTATAATCTATCGAAGTTGTACAGAAATTCAAAGTCTCGGGTGAATGTTGTTCACTTTATACATTTGTAAATGTAAAAATTTAGGGTTTGTTCTACTGAAGACAGCTGAATATAACCACTGAAACCTCATTAACCATCAAATGTTTAATTGTTATTTATTTATTTATATTGCTTAGATTTAAAAATTGTTTCAGTTACAATATTACAATAAGCACTTGTCTAATTTTCAAAAGATTGCCTGTGCTTTTTGACAATCTTTTATGGTGCAACTGATATTATTAATAAAGTTTAGTCCGGTAAATGAAGCAATTTAAAAGTTAGGAGTCACATCATTAAACTTGAAAAAAGGATGTAGCTAATGTGGTTGAAGTTGAGTGTTATAAACAAAACAATTCAAAGTTTGGTGGAAATATGAAATTTAGTATTAAGTTTAGGGATCATTGATAAAATTATTCCAAAATGTACCCCGAAGAGGTGCCTATTTGTCAATAATGCTGAAAAAACCGGGAATAACAATAGGGGGAAAAAAAGGGTGAGTTGGCAGCTATGATTGAATGTTTCTATATGTTTTTTATCCAATTTTCAATGAAAGATTGCCAAGTGTCGTCTGGAAATAATTTTCTTTCACCAAGTCTCTCCATGTAGCATGATTCTTGCAAGTTTCACTCTTTCCCCAGTCTCTATATAAATCACTTGAACTGCCTTTAATTATTCACACACCAAAAGAAAAGAAAAAGAGAGTTTTCTTAGCAAAAAAATTCAGTAGTCTGTGAGAATGGCCACAATGCCCACCCCTGGAGGAACTACCCCCGATTTTGATGATCTCGCTCGTTTTGCTGTTGATGAATACAACGGGCAAAGGGTTTTCTTTTTCGCGTTTTTGTGTTGATTTTGTTAATCTTCAACTACGATTATTTTTTGCATCTTATTAATTACAATTGCCTTCGATTTTCATGACCGTATGAAATTTTGGAATTGAGTCTGAAATCTCATTTATTTTTCTTCCCTTATGACTGCAGCGTCAACCAGTTCTGAAATATGAGAAGGTAATCTGTGCGAAACGGGGAAACGTGTTTGCAGGGTCCACGTACTATATAATCCTGGAGGCGTCCAAGCCCGATTCCATGTCCAAGCCCGTACCCAATGCCATGTGTGCAGGGACGGTGTGGATCACCACGCTCACGCCAGATAACCCCAAGATGTTGCTGGATTTCGAGATATATGAATATAATCTTACTAAAAAAGCCATGTGATTGGACTCCTATAGCAGCAGTTAACTCGTAAAATAAATAAAGCAGTATTGCTAATGTTAAATGTTTGAATAAACTACGAGTGTATGGTATCGTGAGAAGCAATATTATGAATATAAGTCCAAGTATTGTTACCCAAAAACTTAATGCTATGAACTATCAATTTACTTAAACCTAGCTTGTGTTTGAACGAACTTAAGTTCAATTATGTAACGATATGTGGACATAAAACTAAAATTTGTACATAAAATTTAACCGAAAAACGACACGCAAAACTTCACAAAAAGTTTTCATGAGATTAACTTGTTCGGATTTCTGATTTCATTTAAGTCAATTTATGCTTAATTTCGTTTAACATACAATAACCTTACCTACGAGGGTTAAAAATCAAATTGTTCGAATTAACTAATAATCTCTTTTGAACAAAATTAATCCTACTTAAATGCACAAACTCACTACATCTCTATGTAAGTTCCAACACATAATATGCATTAATTCAAAGAAATTCAATTAAAATGTAGCATAACATGTAGGAGTATCTCTCGATTTCTTATCCAAGATTATGTTCCTATTGTACGAGCTAGACATGTATATTATCTTTTGATCTCAATAAAATCCCTATATAAATTAATTAGTGATCAAGCAATTGAATTTGATTAGCACACAATAAGTTATTAACATAATAAAATATTATTTAACAAAAATGACCTAGACTACATTGTTCATCCTAACATGTAGAATTTTAGCCATTCATCGTGGCCAAAAAAATACAAAAATTAAAAAGTCGTCAATGGGTTTTTATCACAATGAAAGGAGAAAAGGAGCTACACTATTGTTGATATCGCTACAAGAATCCCAGAACAATTCTTCAACCTTAATCCTTGAATCTTGCAATACTACCTCGTTTATCATTCAGTACCATACAACAGTGAGTGCATTTATCATTTCCATTTTTTAAACAATACATGTTTTTTTTAATTGTTCACCAGAAAATTTGCACCATCTGAAGTTATTCATAGTAAACCCCCAACTAATTTAATTGCATTTCTCTTAAAAAAA